CTACAACCAGGCGCATCCACCCCACCCCCCATCCCCCCGCCCCCTTCTTTCTTATAAACCCCTTTAATTGCGCTGGCAATTACAATTAACTTATCACTATTAAGCGTCATTTACCGACGAACAACCATTCTTCGGAATACATGAAATATCAGCATTAATCGTAGCATTGGCCCCGCGTAATTAAATCCCAGGAGCACTGGCAAGCATCGGGCTGCATTTGCCTTCGTCTACAAAAGCGATTCGAAGTTCCGTCGGGAATTTCGTGTGCGCGCCGCCTACTCACTTATCCTTATTGTACGACCAATCAATTGGAAAAGGATAAATCGATCAAAGATTCGTCAATAATAGATTGGGCATTAGGGTACTGCTCTCAAGGCCCATTAGACGATCGAAACGACCGATGAGGTAAGGTTCGCAAATGAAAATGGAAGGAAAGCGAGATAGAAAATGGAACGAGTCGGAGACCTTGCGCGTACTACTATTGTTATTGTTATTATTTCTAACATTATTATTATCGTCGTCGTTGTCGTCGTTGTCGTCGTCGTCGTCGTCGTCGTCGTCGTCGTCGTCGTCGTCGTCGTCGTCGTCGTCGTCGTCGTCGTCGTCGTCGTCGTCGTCGTCGTCGTCGTCGTCGTCGTCGTCGTCGTCGTCGTCGTCGTCGTCGTCGTCGTCGTCGTTGTTGTTTTCTTTTCGTTTTTGTGTTTGTTATTGTCGTCGTGGTAGTGGTTTCGGGGGTAGTGGTGTTGGTGTTGTTATAGTTATTAACAGCCGCCGACGATGGATATTAGACAAATTGCCCGAGGTGGGGAAAGCTACTGGGAGGAGATAAGAGGACGAATTAAATTGACGAGCGAGTGCGGAGCGTGGGACACTGGGACCATAACGACAATGCGAAAATGTCGAGCGGGAGAGTCGTAAAATGAAAAGGTAAAATTCGAGGGAAAGCCAATTGCGACCGACGACAAGGAGGCGAGTAAATGTCAAGGCTGTTGGTGGCGCATGGAGCGGGGAGGGGTAAGGGTGTGTCGTGGGGCCGTGACAGTGGCCGGCCGGAGAGGCAAGCGATTGAGGTTATGTCGCATACGGACCTGCTTCATGGCGTCGTCGTGGAACTGGCCGAGCAAGTCGACGTTGCCCGCGGCGTCTATCAGCTCGTGCTCGGCGAGGTCGGCGGCCGAGCTACCGATGGCCACGGCCGCGGACTGTCCCGTCACGGGCATGGCACCGTTGCTGGGCGAACCTCCCCCGGTCGATTGGGTCTGCATCTCCTCCGTGTATAGCCTAGCGCCGGTGAGGGTACGATGCTCGCCACGCTGCTGTTGATTTGAATTCGTGTACTGCTGTTGCTGTTCCTGATGTTGTTGATGATGATGATGATGATGATGATGATGATGATGATGACGATGAGGATGCTGCTGCTGCTGCTGCTGCTGCTGCTGTTGTTGATGTTGTTGTTGTTGTTGCTGCTGTTGTTGATTGTGGTGGTGGTGATGGTGGTGGTGGTGGTGCTGCTGCTGCTGGTGGTGCTGTTGCTGCTGCTGTTGCGGTTGCTGACGATGGTGGTGATTCTGGGCGCCTGCACCCAGGCCCCGGACCTCGCTGCCCACGAGCCACAGGCTTTCCTCCTCCGACGAGGGCATCACTGCCACAAACCATCTGCAAAAGGACGCACCGACTGTAGCACTACTGGCCGAGAGCCGCTTGTAGCCGTCGCGAGCACTTTTTCAGTCACATGTCCAAGTCGCCGAGGGCAAATGGGCCGCGTGTCTACGACGGCCAGCAGCAGCAGCGGCAACAGCAGCAGCAGCGACTCCTCCCGACGCTCTGTAACTCGGGCCGACACTTTCACAGGGGTACCCACCCGAGTACGTTTGGCTGCCTCGGTGAGCCGACGAGGCCGAACACGCGCGCTCGATGCCCCTTACTTATGATCGTACGCGTGGTGTCTTGGCAGGTGAGGTGCCGATGAGGGCGAAGGGCTCGGGACGCACTGTCATTTCCTCTCCTCGAGGCCCCGCGCGCCTTCTCTATCCAATAACGGCCGCTTCTATTGGGACGGAGGGCGCATCGAGTGCTCCCTTTTATCGATACTTTCGTCAATCGTCACGGAATCGTCGTCCTCCTCTACGCAATCCTTGATTGCCCGTAAAACCAACGGCGAGGTATATTCCTAGCGATTTATTTCGGATCGAATGGCTTTAATCCTCGCTTCGCTCTACCGTCGATACCCATTTGATTGGTGGGGAGTGGTGGGATGATGGCGCGATTGGGAGGGGGGAAGGTGTATCGATTTGGTGAGATTGTCGCGAGAGCGATGTAAACATTGGGTGCATGACCGCCGTGATACGAAGGAATGGCGAATTTGAAAGCTCCGCTAGGTAATGTTACGCGGCCTTGCTATTGCGTCAAGTTGCGTACACGCACACACGCAACATCAAATCGATGACTCGGTTGCGTAATCGTAACGACGGTATTGATAACGTATTACGTATAACGAAGGTCGTGAGCGAGTTGTAACTGGGGGAGGGGAGGGGAGGTGTCTCGAGCCTTTAGGAAGATCTCATCGAATAACCACGTGGAATGTGAAATCTATCATTCCATGGATAATGTGGTATTTTTTGTTAATTTTCGTGGCTCGAGCTAACGTGACATTAACCAACACCGGGCAAATATAAAAACATCACCCACCCCACAATTCGTTAAATTATGCTTAAAAGTGCAAGAGATTTTGTTAACCTCTACGTTCCCTACTATCAAGCGCCTTTAATTATTTTCTATAAATGTACGGCCAAGTATTTAAAATATATTTTGCGTTTGGAACAAGAGAAACGTGAGATAATACACTCGTGATGAGCTCTACTTCGCTCGTATCGTCATTGCATAATTATTAACTTGAATTAACTTGAATCGATGAGAAAATTAGTAGTCATTATAAGTTAAAAGAATCGACGTATTAGTTTCGAGAAACAAGTTAAACAATTTCCATGGATTGTTGAGAATTATTGGAAATTTTGTTCTATCGAGTGCGATACAATTGTACAAATCCATACAATTATGACTGTACGTTTGTACAAATTCGTTCTCGGAAAAATAAATGATAAGTAATCGAGTCTATAATGTCGGATGAAATTTTAACGCTAACTGTACAAGTTATTTCGACAAAGCGTTCGACAAATTCAATCATCGTTACACAACAAGTTCATTATTCTATTATAAAATGCCTTTTAAATAGTTAAAAATACCTAATTGCTTGAAAGCTACTTGTTTCTTTACAAAGCTCTTGCATATTTGCAAACGTAAGTAATTCAAACTCATATGAAATTCACAGCAACCATATTTAATTAATATTTTTAATAATTACAATAAACCGTAACAAACAGTAACAAAACCGTAATAAACAATAACACTATCATTTCCCAAAATATTGACGATATGCTTGCCTGTCCACATACACATCGCGTGTACACGCATGCTGCTCTTGTGTGTATATTAAGCATATGATTCATGCATACATACATACATACATACATACATACACGCGCGCGCGCGCGCGCGCACGCACACGCACACGACATATATTTAATTTATAAAATTGATTTATGTAAAAAAAATTTAGATACCTCCTTTGTCATACTTGGTGTACGTTTATCATTAAATTCCGATTCGATGTGATTAAAAATATTTCATTATCAATATATTACATTAAACTGATAAAACAAACAAAAAAAAAAAACAAAAAAAGAACAATTAACAGAAACCAATATTTCAATCATTCTATATTGAATTAATATCTAATAATTCTTTTTTACAGCAATGTATTTATTATTTAAATATATACAAAATGGTTTATTAATTAATCAAATGCTTATTGTTGATATCACATATTCAATAATATATAATATTTTTATATTTATACGCGGTTTGTTGCAATTTCAATCATTCAATCATTTTAAATATAATGTATATATGTGTGTGTGTGTATATATATATATATATATATATATATGTATATATATTCATGTAGATGTATGTTATAAAAAATTTATTGTCGATGTTATTTATTGTCAAACAGTTGCTAAAAGCCGTTAAAATTTATTCAAAATATATATTACAAAATTAATAAATATCAATGAAACATAAATGCAGCCGAACCGTAAAATATTTAGCTTAATCAATTTACTTTTATAAAGATTAATATTAAATTAATCAGAGATTAGTGAAACAGATTAAAATTATAGAAAGCCGTTTATATATGATATAATTCTGCTAATAGTACCTGTACTACGTATTCTTATTAACTCTATTTATTTATAATAATAAAACTAAAAATATACAAACATGCTGTATGATTTGAACTTTAAATAGGAAAAATATAAGAAATTTGATTCCAATCAGCCAAAACAATTTTTAACGTTAATGCAATGCTATTAAATTATAATTATTTATTAATAGTCTTAAACGTCTTTTATAATAACTTCATATTGGAGAAATGAACGTACAACACTTTCATATATAATTTCAGAAATACATAATCCAGTGAATTTTCATATTCAATTAATGTCAACGTCACCTTAAATATTATATATATATATATATATATATATATATATATTAACGTAAAAATGAGTATTATGCTTAGAAAGCTTAACGACAGGTTACTCAAGAATTATTTTGCAATAACTATTATCATAACTTACTTAATTTAAAACTAATTTGTCGGTTTACTAAACGATAAAGTATGTCAAAATTCATTAAATGATTATCTCAAAGGCATTACGTAAGATTGTTTTGCCATGCTATAATGGCGTATCAAAACTTGCATGTGAAACGCATCGAGAAAGTTTTCTTGCAAAACATATGTTTCTCACCTTTAATAATAATTGCCTGCAAAATTTCTAAAAACGCACAAATTTTATTTAACAAAAACAACGGGAGGAGAGAAAAAAATTAATTTGAACCACTTTTTAATTTTACATTACGAAATAATGCCAAAGTATAGAGTAAATGGAAAGCTTTTAAATAAACTAGAATGAATAATTAATTGAAATTCTCAATTATTACTGGCAATATTTCATCCGTATTTTTAAAGAAAAATATTTTTCATATATCTCTCTGCTCGATAATAATTTTCCGCGTGAAGTAAAAAAGTAAAATCCGTTGAGTAAAAATTCCATTATCGATCGATCCCGAGCTCATTATACACTAAAACACAAATCGTCCTATTTCGCATTAAACACAAGTCACGTGCAAATTACCCACTACGGTTCACGCCCAACTTTCACGTGTAATAAGGTCGCATCTGCGAGTCAAGACCGAAAAAGGTATTAATCCTTCCCCGTGGTCATATTGGAAAATGCACTTGACAGCAATTGTTACTCGAGCGCCTATAACGTCTTATATAATTCCGGTAATAATCCAGCGAAAAAGTAACTGCGACGATCAATCAATTAATTGCTACGTGCTACTTAGTGAAGAGGAAATGTTCGGCGTCCGGGGGAATCCGAACTCATCGTCGCCTTTCCCCTTCGGTGAAGCTGCGCCACCTCCACCTTCGAGCATTACCCGTACGCAAACAATAATTGCATGACTTCCAAAGGAAACTGCAGTCATAAATTAAACGAGCCGCGATGCTTGTTACCGGGAGACATTAAGGCATTATCGTTCCTAGGACGACGTGGTGTATTTTCACATACATGACGATTGATCCGACCGAGGAAAAGCACCGGACGTTTATAAACGAAGACCACCCCCATGCCTTCCGATCCAATCTCCTTCTCTTCTCTTCTCTTCCACTCGTTTCCGCATAAACGAAAAACCCGAAGCGCATACTGTTCCTACAGGACGGTCTACATTAGCCATTCTCCCACCCCCAACCCCATCACCATCCCAGCATCACTACGGGCCGATGATATTCCACTGCTTCCGCCAGTTCGTATCTAAAGTCCGAGCTTTTTCCAACGTTCTATGCGCGCGTGGCCGTCACTGCGGCCATAATTAAAAAATATTTGTCCGAGAATAGCGAGATTGTACATTGCGACTGATGTTAAATATTTTCAAAATTATCGCGGGATAGCGAATCTGAAAGCTCTAGCTCGTAATTCCAATAGTTAATAATTCAGCAATAAAGGTTTATTAACTTTTTTCGTTGATTATCTAATACTAATAACTCGCCAGCACACTAATTGGAATATCCAGAATGAACAGTTCGATTATTACAATTAACGAGGCAAGAAGAATCTTTAGTCATCAATTATTCCTTAATAAACTTATATGCAAATTGCAAATTTAAGCCTCTCAAATTATCGCCTAAATTGATCATTATCTCATTATTAAGTATTTTTAGCATTTTTAAGCATTGACAAGCTAATACATTACCAACTAAAGTATCATATATATATATATATATATATATATATATATATTCATTATTATTATTATTATTACTATATTAATATTATTATTAAATTTTATTGTTATTATTATCACACAGAACTTTTAGTAATAATGAGAATGAGAAAGTAATAATAGTAATAATGAATAAGGGAGTAACGTTTTCTTATTAATTAAGACATTCTCTTTGTAAATTATGATTTACTTTTTGAAAACATTGAATTCAATGGCATACTAAAGATTAATTTTTTCTTATTAATTTTTCTTATTGTATATATTTTTATTATACAAAATAAAGTGTCTTTAATTATCGAAAAACCTTCCCCTAA